AAAGAGACAAAAATATTTACTCCATTATGTGTGAGGAAGACCACTGTAAAATAGTCAAGAAAAATCCTCAAAACTGAACAGGATTTAGCATTCTGATTGCTTCACAATATTCTTAAATTCTCACTTCACTTTAAAGAAACCAAAAAGGGAAATGATTCAGTAGATCCATGCTCAAGGTAATGGCCTTGGTCCTACTTTAAGAAAGTGGAAAATGAGTACACATTTATCAATATTAAATCAAAGCTGGATTTTTTTTTTTTTTTTTATTTTTTAGTAGAGACGGGGATTCACCGTGTTAGCCAGGATGGTCTCGATCTCCTGCTCTCGTGATCTGCCTGCCTCGACCTCCCAAAGTGCTGGGATTACAGACTTGAGCCACCGTGCCCAGCCCAAAGCTGGATTTTAAAGGTGGCATGTGTCTTCTCTTTTTAATTGTTTTGCTTGGATTTTTTTTTTTTTTTTCATTAGCTAACTTTTTCAAGAAATGGTAACCTTCGTGAGAAACACTATTAGTTTGATGAGTCTCAAAATTAACTTCCACGTGAGGCCTCTTCCCTGAATTTTAGAATGAGTGTTAAGTGCTAGCACAACAGGTAAGTGGATAGAGCCCACTGACCTTATAAACTCAACATGTCTAAAGCTGAACTCATCACTTTGCGTGCATGTCTGCTTTCCAGTGTTTTCTCCAACCCTTGGTAAAACCAACCTCTTGAGCACTCAGCCTAGTACCCTGGAAGTTGGCTTTGTTTTTCCATCTCCTTTGCCTTCTTTACATACAAGTCCACTAACAAGTTTTACTAAGTTTTTATCCTAAATATTTCCTAAAACCAAACTTTTCTTCTTATCTGTGCTATTACTCCCTAAATCCTTGCTCTCATTACCCTCACCAGGAATATGCACTTCTAACTGATCTCCCTACATTCAATATGTTTCCTTTTAAATACATTTTCAAATACCTTCAAAAGTGTTCCATTAAAAAGGCAGATCTTAAGATCTAACCTTCAAAATGCTTCTCTTATCCTATGGGATAAATACATAGTTTTTGTTATTGTCTTGTGTGTTTCTGCTGCTCCTTTTTTGACACTACCCTTTCTAGAAACATCGAATTCCTTGTAATTTATGGACCTCACACATGCTTTTGCTGAAGTCATGGTATTTCCATGGAGTGTTCTCCACTGTTAATTCCAACCCTCCACCTAGCTAACCCTTACTTGACTCAGTTTAGGTCTCAGTCTTTGAAGATCTTTTTCTATCCTGAGCTCCAAGTTGCAATGAGCATTATAGATTTTTTTTATTGCTGTCATCATATTGCCTTAATAATTTCTCTACCTTTCCCATTTCTTATTTCTCTCATCACATGATCTTCATTATTTACTTACTTAAATTCTGGGAACTTCACAGGAAAGACATCTGTTGTGTTTACAATTTTATCCACCCTATCAAGTACAGTATTTGAAACATAGTGGCCCCTTAATATATTTTTTGAATGAATGAATAAACTGAAACTCTATCTTTCAATAAATATTTCTGGTATAGAATGGCTGTCTATAGGCATAACATTAATTAAAAATAATATAATCAAAGCCTCTAAACAATCAAAAATGAAAACTATAATTATTTTTCCATTTTGAACTTTATTTTAAATTTATTTTTAAAAATCTTACAAAAGCCTAGCTTTAGCTATGCATTGTAGGGTCACAAACTTTATCTTATTGAGTCAATGGTTTAAAATTTTGTTATAAAAATGTATAATAAATATTATATTAATCTGAATAACTATTTTCATATCATTATTCTTTATCTTATTTAAGGAATTAAAACTCCCCAGAGTGAATATCCCTTTTTTATTTATAGCCCTGAGTAATTACAGTCCTCATGTTTCCTTCTTTGTTTGTTTCTTTTGCTCTGTGTTAGCCAATAGAATCTTATGTTTGAAACGTGGGTTTCTTCTGCAAGAACTGCTATCCTTTGCCATCTTCTGCTGAAAGTAGGAGGATACTCATTTTTTTTACGAATGCTGCATTGTATCTTAGTCTTTTAGATATCCTACATTTTTACAGTCCCAGATAATCAATAAGAACGGAGGGAGTGAACTCCACTTTGGTCAAACTACTTCAGTAGGAACTGCACTGACATTTAAACTTAATTTTGATAATAAAGTCAGCTAAAAGTTTGCTCTGCCAGTAATTTCAAAACTGTTAACCAACCAACTAACTAGACTAACAGATGATATGGTGGATCACATTTTTTATTTCTTTTATTTTTTACTGTAACTTACAATTCTTGCAGCAGAAGCAATAAAGTTTTACATAATTGCCAAAATTGAACAGCAGAGGGCAGAAAATAACAAACTCTGTTTCTTGTAGCACACTATTCTAGTCAAATGTAGATTAGTTGTTGTGAAATTTTCAAAATTGATTAGTGATCAATTTGAGATACATATTCTTGAAATAGGTAGTTGCTACATGAAAAATAGAGCTGTGTACATTCAAAAAATAAATTCCAGCATTTTTCCATGTATTTGTATAAATAACCATTTACTGTAGTCAATTTAAATTTATTACCCTTATATTGACAGGATTCTGTGCTTGAAACATACATGCTATTAAAACATTATAAGAAATTTGAAAAAGTCTCATGAGTGATCATATTAATAAAATTACACTGATATAGGAAATAAGTTTTCAAATACATGAAAGGTCTATACATAACTACCTTGTGAACACAGGTACATAGACTAGCAGTTGAATTACAAGTCATGTTTGCTAAAATTTTTATTTCCATCTTATATATAAATTGTAATTGGCCACTAGACAGTAATATTTTTCTTGAGCTCTTACATGTTAGTTACTATACTCTATGATTCAGCAAATTGTTATTTTTACAGCATTTGTTTTTTATAGAATGTAACTCAGTCAATTTTGAGTTCATATCTGCCCTTGACTTTCAAATAGGTTAAGATGAAAATAGTTTTAAAACATTCTTATTTTTAAAAATTCAATTTACCTCAACTCACATTTTAAACATCACATTTTTTCATATTCAAGCTTCGCGTCTCTCTGTCCTCACTCTCTTTAATTCTAAGTTACTTTCTATGAAATTAAAGTTTTCCTGTGGAAACAAGTGAATCGAGAAAAAAAAAGAAAATAACTACAGAGGTATTTTAAATTTTGCTCTGTTCTGTTATTAGTGCTTTTACATTAACAATTTTAAATAGGGAATAATTTCCAATCATTTTTTATGCCTCACATCACAAATAATGTATGATTTATTTATTTTTTATGTTACAATTGTGAATATATGTAAGTTATATCTCATTTTTATTTTTTATTGATTTATTGTAATTTTAATTAATTTTATATGTTATTTTTATTATTAATGTTTTAAAGGTTAAATGCATTTTTATTTAGAAGACCTGCTTTGTATATAGTGTGGAGTACTTATACTAATAAATTCTAAGGGGTAAAATTAAGAGATATTTTAGCCTATAGTTTATAAGCTTAATAATACATTAAAGCTATTCTCACTTCATGGTTTAGGACTATATCAAAAAGAGGGAAAGGTCATAATTTGAAATGACAGCAATATAGGATCAAAGAGCCATAGAAGCCACTTTGCTCATCATCATTTTGAAAATGGGAAAATTGAGGCCAATGTGATTAAGAAGCAAGCATAAGATAACGCAGTCAGCAATGAAGCTGCAAGCACAAGAAGGCAGCCTGATAGACTCATGGCATTTTGGAATACTAGCAGTTCTCTTTTTAGTACTGTAAGCTCCAATTTCCCTCTTCCTGGAAATAGTTCCTTGCTCTCAATCCTTCTTTATTTGTTTAAACCACTAAAGACATAGAACTTGGTGGGGCTTTTCTGAGTCCGCAGAGGGAATTGTCAGAGCAGGTTCCTAGGAATGGGCTTGGAAAGTACCGTGAAGAGCATAAATTTCACACAGGAAGTCCAGTCGTCTATCTCCCCATCAATTCTCTTCCCTCAAACTTTTAATATCTAACCTCATCTTTCTTTCTCAGTGGCCGGCGTGTTCAGTGCGGCGAGGTAGCTTACTTTCTTTAGGCAGTGATTTTTGGAAACCCAGGGTCAAAACGCGATGGGGAAACAGATTTCTAAGTAAGTCTCTGGGAAAAAATCTGCATCTTTGCGGCCTTTCTAGACTAGCTTCATCTTCTAATCACTTTCCTCTAATAGCCTTTCGTTAAACCAGAGTCTCTTACTTTCAATCTGTATAAAGCAAGGGCTTCTAGGAAACGAAGTCTACATGACTCTACAACGGGAGGGATTGCAGTGTAAGCTGCGAGAAAGACCCGTGCGCTCTGTGACTAGGCGAGTCAGCATCACAGCCCAATGGAAAATACTCTAAAGATGGGATTTTCATGCAAAATATTTAAAAGATTCCATCTTGATCTCCTGTGCGGCTTTAGCATTTAAAGATAGAACTTGGGGTTCTCCCCGGATCCTGGCTACATCCCATGAAGCCTAACTACACAATTTTGGAATATTTCCTCCATGGTGCTTTGCTTGCTTGTTTGCTTTCGGTTGGGTCAGGTGAGGTGGATGACAGGGCTTCTCTATTGCTAAATGGGTTTTCACAGGAGATGGAAGATAAAAATCAAAATTATTTTTAACGTAAGACAGCAGGGCCTGGTGAGAGGACGCTTCGCCGCCAACAATGAGCAATTCGGCTTCTATAAAGCAGCCGGAAATCAGCTTTGCTGCATTTGGTCCAGGTTGGAGCATCTCCGCAAAAACTGCAATAGCCGCACAAAGGTAGCTCCGGGCGGGGAGCGACGCGCTGTCCTCGGTGCTGAAAGGCAGAGGCGAGCTGTGGGCGCTACAGCCCGGTAGACCCGACGTCTCGCGGAAGGAGAGCGGCTACGGGCCCCGAGCTGTGCTTTCTCAGCGCCGCGCACGCGACGCGTCCACGGCGGTGCGGGGTGCCGGGCGCCGTGCGGGGGAGGGGGCGCGCGCGCCCGCCGCCTGCCGCGAGTCGCGCACGCGCGCCTGGGACTGCCTACCCCTCTCTGTGACTTGCCTGTGTGTGTGTGCGTGTGTGTATGTGTGTGTGTGTGTGCGCGCGCGCGCGTGAGTGAGAGAGGAGAGAGGGAGAAGAGAGCGCGAGAGAGGGTGAGTGTGTGTGAGTGCATGGGAGGGTGCTGAATATTCCGAGACACTGGGACCACAGCGGCAGCTCGGCTGAAAACTGCATTCAGCCAGTCCTCCGGACTTCTAGAGCGGGGACAGGGCGCAGGGCATCAGCAGCCACCAGCAGGACCTGGGAAATAGGGATTCTTCTGCCTCCACTTCAGGTTTTAGCAGCTTGGTGCTAAATTGCTGTCTCAAAATGCAGAGGATCTAATTTGCAGAGGAAAACAGCCAAAGAAGGAAGAGGAGGAAAAGGAAAAAAAAAAAGGGGTATATTGTGGATGCTCTACTTTTCTTGGAAATGCAAAAGATTATGCATATTTCTGTCCTCCTTTCTCCGGTTTTATGGGGACTGATTTTTGGTGTCTCTTCTAACAGCATACAGATAGGTAGGTACCCTTTGTGCTATGCTTTTGAATTGTGCATAATTTGGTGGTAATCTTTGTTCACAGTGTACAAATTAATTCATGTCATGTAGACTTGTGTCATACCTTGACTGCATTCCAGATTTAAACTACCTAGAATATACATGTTTTTCTTAGGATGAAGCAAAAGGAAATAAGTATGGCTTTGATACAATAGAAGAAAAGGTCCTCTCATTTCGGATCCCCAAATTTTATTAATTCTGCCTTAGCGACATTTTCCAGTTTGCTCAGATTTTCTTGGGATCTGAATACAAAGCTTGTGATTACATGGAAAGGAGAAGGTTTCTGGCCACCTACCTCGTCTTCAGACTCTCATCTGGGTCTTGACCTCTTGGCTACCTTTTGGATATTCCACCCCCGCTGTCCGAGTCCGTAGATGTGTTTATTCGGCCCATTACCGTGAATAAGAGACTCTTGGACTGTTGGGCGCTAGCGCGCGCCCCTCCTTTCCCTCCCGGGCACTGACACTGTTCTCTTGCTTGCTGTTTGTTCTTTGCAGGGGGGCTATTTCCTAGGGGCGCCGATCAAGAATACAGTGCATTTCGGGTAGGGATGGTTCAGTTTTCCACTTCGGAGTTCAGACTGACACCTCACATCGACAATTTGGAGGTGGCAAACAGCTTCGCAGTCACCAATGCTTGTAAGTAATGAATATTCATGCCTTTCTGCTGCTGCACGCGGAAGGCTAGCGAGTGTGAGTGTGTGTGTGTGCGTTTCTGGGGTGGTGTGTGCGTTTCTGTGTGTCAGTGTGTGGGTGTGAGTGACTGCACACGCGCGTGCGTGTGACGGTGTAGAGAGAAGGTGGCTGTAATCTCGGGGACCCCCGCTGGCTGGAGGGGGCTGAAGAGAGAGGGAAAGGACTTGAAGAGTGTGCGCATTAGGGAGCTGGGGTGAGGGTTGGAGTCAGGGAGGGCGGCTTTCTTGGGTTCAAGGGGTTTTCGCTCATCTTGAGTGCTTCAGGAGAAGCCCTCCCACCTCGCTCCCCATCGCGCGCCTGTTGGCACCCTGCCCACAGAGAACACGTTCCCCAAGGCGCGCAGTCGGGCTGTTGGACAAATCCCACGGGGGACTGCTGGAGCCCGGTGACCTCCTGCCCCAGCAGCTGCAGCTCGCCCTCGTGGCCCCCAGTTTAGCTCCGCAGCCCCGGCTGGGCTCACCCTACCGCCCTCGCGAGCCCCACGTTCTCCTCTTTGGGACAAGTTGTTGAAATGGTTCTGGAGTTGGGATCGGGGCTGTTACATAAGGCCCACCCGAGGGGCGAGGAGCGAGGCTGACGCAGGCCCAGGCCCGCCGGGTGGCGTGGGGGTGGGGCGGGGAGGCGGTGGCAATGGGGAGCACAGTCAATTTCTCCTGCTCAGTTGCGCTTCCGCTTAAGTTGGAAGGGGCGAGGCCGCCAGGGGCGCCGCGGTCAGCTTGCCAGCCGGGCGCGCTTTGTTCTCAGGTAGCTGGGCCCCAGCAGAGGCAGCCGGGGGGAAAAGGACTGGAAAGCTGTGCGATCCTGCCGAGTTTGAAAATCTGAAGAAGTCGCCGATCAGCCATTTTAGTCTTTGCAGTGCTCCATAATAGCCCTCTCCCTCCACGCAGTGCTCAGGGACTCTCTGGAAAGCTCTGTGATGGATTCAAATAAAGTACCAGAAACCAAACAATTAGGGATCTAAAAGGATTGGTGGGGAGGCCAGAGGGCCCGGTCCCCTCGCTCGCTCCCCAGCGCAGGCTTGGGCAGGCAGTCGCGGCCACTGTGCCTTCCTGCCCTCTTCCCAGCAGCTGCCATCATTTCCTGCCGCCCGCCCTGAGGTGATTCTTTCCTGTCCTAATGTTCGCAGTCTTTATTTCATAGATAACAATTTGGGGGAGATTTGCGGATGGCTCACTTCCCACTTTGGCTAGGGAGCTTGGGGAAAATTACCACAGGAAAAGCCCAACTGCAGCTTTCCCACGTCACACAAACAACTGGTTGCCATCCCTCCTCCCCATTTTAAGCTTTAGTCATATATTCCATGATTTAGCTGGACTATCATATCGGGCCCATCATCAACTCTTGCAACTACTGTCACCCGGACTAATGAAGAAACAATTTTCTTAGACTGATAGAATAGGGGCATTGTGTGGTAATTTGGGATTTAATTGTTTATAATGGATCTATTTAAGAAGGTTTCACTGCTATATATTTTCTTCAAATGTTGACGGCAAGTGAGAAAAGAAAGAAGAGCGGGTATAGGGGTACAGAACCAGAGAGAGAAGAGGAGAATTGAAGTGGATTTGCAGCTTTGAAAAACGCCCGTAATAGAATATCTCAGAAAATTTTAGTACATGACATACAAAGAAATTGACTTAATTAAAATTTGAAGGCTTCTCTATTTGACCTATTTACCTAACAGATTTTGACTATTCATTTGATATCAGTAAGTTCCAATTTTTCCTGAATTATAAGTTTATCATGCAACTGTTCTGAGTATCTAACTGTATATAATTGTATACTTACACGTGAAAATGCTTTGAAAAGTAATGAATCCTAAGGAACGACTGTGGGTATAGGAAGGACATAGGTTTTAAATGTGAAGTGAAAGTATTGACAGCTATACTTTTTGAAAACAGTCAGTGATTGACAAGTTCGCTCATTGGTGAAAATGATGAGAACTTTCTGAAAAAATAACATATATCCATTGACAAAATGAATATTCCTTGATTTCAACAAATGCTAAACTACTGTATTGGGGCTTTGTAAAGATAAAAGACTGTGGTTAGTTTAGGTTATTAGGTTTAGATACTCATTCTTAACATTTTTGAATTTTTTAATATAAATTTTTCCAAAATAAAATATATAGCCAGAATATGTGTGTATATATATATTAAACACATATGTAAATTCATACATTTGCAGAGTGAACACATTCATGTAATCAACATGTGGATTTCTTTTAAAAAATTACCACGCAATTTAATTTGTCTACAGTTCTGAGAAGCTGGAATAATCAAGTCTTCATTTGCACAGTTTTTTCCCCTCCTCAGGAAGTGAAGCTAAAATAAATATGTTCAAATTCCAGAGCCTAAAATTACCCCTGCACGGATTATTATAGTAAGATAGTAAAACAAACTATTTTCAGGAACTGAACACATTTTGAAGATGACAACATGGGAATTCAAAATCATGACATTTGCAGCTTTCATGTTATAAGTAATCCTACTGATTGCTAAAAAGAACTAGGGGGTACTGTGATAGAAGAGAGGCTCATTGGACAGAAATTTCTGGAGCTGACATTAACTCATTGGGCAAATCACTTAACTTGTTTGTGACTCCATTTCTTTATTCTCTGAGACATTTCAAAATTTAGAGATTGCAAAATGAAATAGAGAATTTGTATCCTTTTTTGTTTGTTTGTTTGTTTTTGTACTATGGACAATAGAAAACGTAAAATTAGTTTAACTCTTTTGAGACAGAATGAGAGAGAGGGAAAGGGAGAGATGCTTATGTAAACTGCAATCACAAAGTCAAGAAATGGATGAAAATCTCCAGTGTCAAATTTGTCAAGATGGGTCTTGATCGTTTAAATCCTGCTTAAGGTTTTTCTCCAATGCTTATCCTTTGTTTTATTGCCTTTTTATTCAGGGAAGTCTGTGATTCTTTCCTTTATAAAGTGGAAGCAACAGCATTAAATACATTGACAGCTAAGATCTAAACATCTTTTTCCCATTTCCTCTAGAAATCTCAGGAATTTTGCGAATGACATTATTAGATGATAGATATCATCATGCAATGCTCTTGAAATAGCTTGCTCTTCCAATCATAAAAATCCCACAGAGCTAAATTTACATATTAAAAAGTGGATTTTTATACCTTAGTAATATAATTTCAAAAGGGAAAAGTTATTAGTTTACTAATGTAATTTTATTCCTGAGATGGAGGAAATTATTTGGAAATGTTGAAGTTGATGTTGATATAAGGATCCAGGGAGATTCACTGAATGGGTTAAGGTTATACAAAGAAAATGAAGTCATTCTATTCTGAACTGGGTAAAATGACTGTGTGTGTCTTACTGAGCTCCCACATCCTTCCCTTTCACAATCACAGTGGGATAATGAAAGTACCTATTTTGTTCCATTTGTTTCCATGGGTACCTGAGGCAGTAAGACAGATTTTTAGTTTCTTTCATTTTTTCTCCATCATTCCCTTTTTCTTTTCCTCTCTTCTCTCACTCATTTTTCCTTTCCTCCCTTCCTGTCTTCTTAGCTGAAAAGAGTACCAAGATTTTTTTTTCCTGAAGGTTGTTCAAACATAAGCCTTCATTATGAAAAATACAAAGCATAAAACCAGAAAAAAACCCCTGAGATTAGTACCTGATGTGTTCAGCAGTTGAAATCAGCGATGGGTCCCAGGAATCCAACCATTCATTCAATAAATATTTAGTGAGTGCCTTCAAGGTGTCAGAGAATAAATGACTGCTTTTCTTCATGTTAACATTTTTTTTTTTCTAGCCTTTTCCCTCTAGGCTCTTTTGAATAGCTTTCAAAACCTTGTAGGCCTTCATGCCTTCAGTGTGCATTGGTAGCTGTGGTCTTGTCTAGGAGCTTTAGTATGAGGGTATGAGGGTATTCTAGTAGTTCTTAAACACAAGCAGTTTAAAACAGCAACTAAAAAAATCTGCCTTTTTGTGAAAATAGTAACTTTCACATTAATATATATACACCACATATTGTATGTAGTTAACTAACAAAATCAATAGCAAATTTTAGGAAAATATTTTTACATTGTAAAAGATTTTAGTAAACTTTGATGCTCTGCTAGGTACTAAAGCTTACTTAAAATGAAACTGTGTAAAAGGGCTATAAACATGAGTACTTGATTCTACAGAGCTTGAAAATTAAAAGTATTAAATATTGAATTTACTCCGTAAAACCTTCCCTTTCTATTTCTTTTGATGACTGAATTTTACAAATGGTTATTAGTCTAGTTAAAGATAATTTAATAGTTTTATATTTCAATTCCATACACCAAAATAAATTATAAAAATATTAAATTGAAGGAAACAGCAAATAAAAATCTACTTTTTCTCTAAGCCAGCAGATGGAGATGTTGGAGAAAATATTGCTGTTTCATAAAACTGTTGCGCACACGGAATGCCTTTTAAAACATTGTAAACAAATTTATTTAGATAAACTGAAAAAAATGACATCTAACTGGAAGAAAATTATTCAAAATGCTATCTTAAAAATAACTTTCATTGCCTTTTAAAAATAGATTGCCGTATATTTTGTGTTTTAGAAGATAAAGACTGTTAGAAACAGAATAGATTGTAAATGCTCTTGGAAGATTCTAAAATTATATTTTTTTAACATTTTTAATCTCAATTCCCCAGCTATCCTTTTCGAGCTGTATTTATTGTCATTAAACTTTAGTCACAAATTACTGAGATTTTGTATCTGTCTTCACAAAATTAATTGATGGTTGCTAAGCCTTCATTGCACTTGGATGAATGGACTTCTGTGTGTATGTATTTATAGTTATAGGGTGTAAGTAGTTACAGATTGGCTACACTAGCCTGTTTCGTCATGTTTGTTGAGGTATTTACTAACACCTCAATAGAGTTACAGACTTTCATATGTGCAAAACTTTCATAAACTAGACTCAAGTTGGACTTTCTT